TAAATGATGTGTTCAAAGTCACACAGCTAAGTAATGGCAAAGCCAAGCATATAATTCAGCCAGACTGCTGACTCACTCTGTGCTGCCCCCTGCCCCTGCATGATAACCTACTTCCTTTCTTAAATCTCTGCCATTTGAATTTTGGTCTTTCTCTTTTACAGCAAAGAGAGAAGGAGATGATTGAAGCTTTGCTGACTAGGGTAGAGGAAGAAGTGTTTAATCTGAACAAGTCCAGGGGTTCAGATGTAAGCTCCTTGAAGACATTTTTGAACTCCCTTTCAAACTTCTTTCCAAGCCTCCAGGCAGATGCCGACTGAGTCTAGAACCATAGAGATCGGAGGGATCAGCCAGCAGCAGCAGGGTAAGGGCAGCTGCTACATATTTCCCCCAATTATCCCTGTTCATAACTGAAGAGCTCTCCAAAACATCAACATTAAAAAACTGTACTTTGAGATAGGTCTTGAGTGTTTCACAGGACACCCTTCAGAAAACAACTGGTACAGAAGGTTTATTTCTATGACAAGGATAGAGATGCTGCTTCTCCAATGTACTTAAATATTTACTTCTCCTTCTCCCTTTCTAAGCTGCTCAAAGCAGGCCAAGTCTTTGAATTGCTATGGCCGAGCAGCATGGCAGGCGCACCATATATAGTAGGGAGTCTCTATACTGTTGTTGAATGAATGAGCAAAATAATTTTATCCATAACTCTTTTATCAATTTAGGCCTTAACAGGGAAAAAAACCCAAAAACCAAAAAATCCTGGGGTGCCTGGGTGGCTAAGTCGGTTAAGTGTCCCACTCTTGATTTTGGCTCAGGTTATGATCTCAGGATTGTGGGATCAAGCCCCAAGCCTGGCTCTGAGCTGGCCATGGAGGCTGCTTAGGATTTTTCGCTCCCTCTCCTTCTGCCCCTCCCCCAGCATGCTCTCTTTTTCTCTCAAAAAAAAAAAAAAAAAAAAATCCCTAATAAATCAAGTTCCAAATAATATTTTTCTTACCTGTCTTGGACCCTTAATTGCCATCCCTTTCTGCCTAGATTTCCACTAAGCTAATTGGATCCTCTGTTTTGCCCTTCCTTATAACTTTTCATGATCTACAACACTGAATAGATGACTTGCTAAAGGAACTATTTACAATATTTTTAATTTCGTGAACTAAAATGTAACAAAATATATAAGGTAATGCAAATATATTTGAAGAGACAACCTAATCAAATCACAAAACTTTGTTGGTAGATTTTAATAAATACTAATATGTATGAATAGATGTTTCTTGCTAATAAAAGAATTTTTCTCTCTCAAGAGTCTCTCTGTTTTCCAGAATTCATGCTTTTTTCATTCCCTTTTATTAAAAAAGGGGGAAATTGATTTGCTGTTTTCCTAGATGTCACCTTGTTCTTCCTTTCACATATTTTAAGAAACTTTTATTTGAGTTGTCCTTATTACCATGTGTATTTCTCTGCTTGAATTGGAAACTCTTTAGGACAATGATTGTCCTCTAACTATCAATGGAGTGATGTTTATTTTTAGTGCTCAATACTTTGGAACCTCTTTTTTTTTTTTTTTCAGAGAAGCGTCAATAGTCATAGGATAATACTCCTCAGAAAGGTAGATCATGACATGAGAAATTAAGTAGTCTCAGTATAGAAATGTAGAAAAAATGCAACAAAAAGCAGAGGTTAGATATGAGGTTATGTCTGAGTCAGTTACTGAAGAGGTATGGGGAGATAAAAAGGGGATATGTTATTGGGAAATAACTCGTTTGGGAGGTGGAGGCAATGGGAAGAAAATGAAATTCAATAACCATTTGAGTACTGAGTCGAGGTTGGGATGGGAAAGACATGACTCCCAGACTCCTGCAGTGAGGGAGACACACAAGTACATATAATTAAAAGGCAAAACAGACCAGGATAAGGCAATAAAGTTTCAGACAAAGGGCATTCTAGGACAATTTTTAGAAAAATGCTATTTTATTCATTAAGGATGAACATTATCCAGAGAACACAACATTCTAATGTATGAAGCTGCATTTCCTGGCTCCCTGAAGGCGTGAGGGCTGTTATTTCTCCAAATCAGAAGCATGCCTCATTTTGTACGTATATCTTTTAGTTTTTTATTTACTGCTTTTCTAAACTTGGGGACATACAGAATCGTACTTAAGATTTGAGGTTACAATTTAAACACTGTGAACATGATTTCTTAAGATACACATGGGAATATTTATTTATTTGGCGGGGGGCAGGCAGAGGGAGAGGGAATCTCAAGCAGATTCCCCACTGTACACAGAACCTGATGTGGGACTCCATCCCATCACCTGGAGATCATGACCTGAGCCAATATCAAGAGTCTGACACTAAACCCACAGAGGCACCCTAAGATACACATTTTTAAAATTTTTTTTATTTTTATTTTTTTAAAGATTTTATTTATTTATTTAAGAGAGAGAGAGAGAGAGAGAGAGAGAGAGAGAGAATGAGCAGCGGGGAGGGGCTGAGGGAGAGAGAGGGAGAAACAGACTCCCTGCTGAGCAGGAAGCCCCATGCAGGAATTGATCCCAGGACCCAGAGATCATGACCTGAGCCAAAGGCAGACACTTAACTGACTGAGCCACTCAGGCGCCCCTAAGACACACATTTTTATTAAGCGAATATCACTTTTTGAAATATGCCTTGCACTAATGAATCTTGTAAAATCAAAGATTCACAGCTAAAAGGAATCCCCATACAATGCATGGCCAACGCAGTCAAAAACTCAAGTACTATAGCTGGACTAACAGTAGATTTTTAAAGTTACTATGGTATTAGAAAGATTCACTTTAGATTTTTAAATTTCTAATGATAGCACAATATAAAGTGAATAGATCTTGATTTTCTTGCTATGTAATAACCAGTGACCAACTGATGGTAATGTAGAACATTTTCTGCTAGTTATTCATTGACTTCAAAAAAAAAAAAAAAAAAAAAAAAGGCACTTTTTCCAGAGACTGGGCAGGAGATAAGATGTCAAGAAGTAATAAGTAGCAAAATGAAAGAGGAGAATGCAATGGAACCAAAAAGAGAAAACATTAAAGTGATGTGTTTTTTTTTTTTTCCCTGTGTATGCAGATGGACAGGAAAATTATAGCAGTAATTGCAGACTTCTTTTCACCAAAGACAGGCTGGCCTTGGGGAATTAGATTATGAGAGAAAATGTCCAATGAAACTGCATTCTCATCCAGGCCCCACCTGACTTGCTGGATATGGGTTTGGCCAAGGTCATTTACCCTTTCTGTGCCTGAGTTACCTTAAATGTTAAAAGAGATGGTTTGCTTCTTCCAGCTACTGGAAAGATGAATGAGATAAAGCTTCAGGAGGCACCCAAGACTGGTCAGAAAAGGTGTTACAGGAATTTCAAGTAGTACTCTTATTATTGAACTGTGTATCCTGTTGTAATGAGTCATCTTGCTGCAAAGATGCATAAGCAATTTCAAGTGTGGCAGAGGACCAGAGACAAACAGAAGAGGCAAGTACTCGGAGGTGGTGTTCAGGGAGATCTCAGTTGCATTGCATTCTGCCCTTTGCTTGTTTAAAGAATAAAAAGGGGGTGGAGTACAGGGGAAACAAGACTTTTTAATTAAGTACAGCAATGTGGCTATACAAACAGACTTTTTAAATACTAGAGCTAGTTTGAATTCAGGCTTTGTCACTACTGTGACCTTGGGCAAGTTATTGTTTCTTTAAACTTCCATTTTTTGCATCTGTAAAATGGGGATTAATTATAGAATCCATAGGGTTGTTGTGGGGATTTTAAAATGTGCACCGTCGCAAAGACTCTATAAAGTTGGGCTATCATTGTAATTTATAGGAGATAGGGGACAGTAGAAATTCAGATTGATAATAAGCGAAACTTTAAAGAAAAAATAATAGAAAAAGTCAAGGTTTTATTTTATAAAACATCATATGATGTAAGGGGCCTAAGAAGAGGCAAACTTGTTTTGTCAAGTCTGAGTCTACTCCTATTTCATGGGCCCACGGTAACTAGTCAAACCTTTGATATCTGGCACACAAAACACAAACAGGAAAAGCCTTCCGTGTGCTTTCATAAAACAGTTTTCTATTTTAAAGCGATATATATATTTTTTGAAAAACCTCTGATACCCAATAGCTCTAAAAAAACAAAGCCCAGCGGCTGGGTTGCTGTTGTTCTAAAGAGAGAGCAATCTGGGGCGCAGGGATTACGCTCCCGGTGACTCCCGCTCCAGGCTGGGAAGCCTTCGGGCAAAGCCCTGGGGGCAGGACGCGGTTTTTTTTTTTTTTTCTTTTTCCTCTATCGATCCCGGAACCTTCGTTGGGCGGGGTGGGGGCAGCGCGGGAGGGGCG